CTGACGGCTACCTCCAGTAAGCAAATTTATCATTTTGGATTGCTTCTGCACCGTAGCTACAAATCACATTGAATGTACTGCTGAACAAAACAGGTTTTATAATGTGGAGCATCTGCCCATTATAAGAATATCCAGCATTTTAATGCAGAATCATTAGTCACAGAGAGTAAATTGATAGGGTATCAAGTTCTGCATATTTCAGTCACAGTTCAAAAAAATCCTACTTGTATAATGCAGGAATATTCTGTGTTCAGCATCCTCATAGTATAGTTGAGTATCTCCATATATAACAATGTTGTGAAACAGAAAGGCACATCCTGAAGCTCCTGAATCACAGCCTTGAAATGCAGCATGACAATTATTTCATTTTGAGGCCAATGGTGATGAGCTCTGTCAGCCTGGCAAGTAATAAGAAGAAATAGGGATCACTTGACTCATCTTTTCTCCCTGCCTTTGCCAGGTCTTTAAAGATACCATTTCACCTAAAGGCTGTTCCATTCACTTACTGCATCTGATTGTTCTGGAGTTATGTTTATGAAAAGGGACTCTACATTTTTAATTTGATTTTTTTTTTTCTCTTTGCAGCCATAAAACCATTTAAAATGCTTTCTGTAAAGGTGATGTTATTTAGAATGCATAAATTGAGATGAAAATAACTGAAAATAATGAGTCAAGCCAATAAAACTGGCAGAAGAATCAGCCAAATGGTAGCTCAAAAAAAGCAGATGACATATTAAAAAACAGTTCAGTCATTTTCTTTTAAAAATCCATCTAGACATGCAATTCCTTATCTCTGTCACCTAACATTTGCCACATCTTCTACTTTATGAACACATACACTTTGCTTGGTAAAAAGGCAGAACCTTTCATTACAATGTATAGCAAGATGTGGCAGTTTTACACTATTTCTGTTATTAAGTAGTGTTATAACAAGAGGGGGCTTGTTAAAATTTTATTATTTTAGTAGCAGCATTCTCCAGAAAAAATATATTTCCTACACTTGGACTGTCTAAACAGATTATCCAACAATTACATATTAATTATTAATCACCCAGTGCTTCAGAAGCCACCCCGTGGCTCTCTAGTGCAGGAACTTACTGCTTTTGCAACCTAATGATATGATTTTCCCAGCTGCAGTATTGCAGTGCTCAGCCAGATGGAAGGTTAATGACAGAGGGAGACATAAAGTTAGAGGGATGCCTAAGGTTGTAACTCACCTTGCTTGGAGGAGGTTATGAAACAGTAACCTAAATAAATTCAGCAGGCAAAATACAGAAAACTAGTTAGATGACAGATTATAGTTAGAATTGGAGTGGGCATATGTTTTAAGTGGTCTTTGTAGGGATTAATGGAAATACCTGAAAATGAGCAAATAAGGAAGATCTTTTCCTCCTGCATCCCCCAAGAACACCTTTTCTGACTCCATGTTTAAGTGGCAAGCCTGAGAACTGTGATTTGCATTATCTGTACACATTCTTGGCTGTACATGGTTACCACTCAGAAAACAAGATTCATTTCTGATTCTCAAGCACATTTATAATGTCTGTGCAAATGAATGTAGGGCATATCCTGGCTAGATCAATATTTATGCAGCCTACTTTAGAAAGCAAGGGAGTTGCTTCTGAGCAGCAGGGGATCTTGTAATTTCTTTTCCTATGGCTTCTTCTTTTCCTCATTTTCAGTGAAATTTGTTTGCATAATGCTCCATGCTTGCTGACAATTAAGGGGAGTTTTCACGAAGGGCCTTCCAAAAGGCCAAGCTGCTACTGGCACCGGGACAGCACTGATACCTGGGGACCCCTGGGGTGGAGGGAGATGTGGGTGAGCCCCTGGAGCTGCAGGCCAGGCCCATGGCAGCAGGTTGGCCCCGGGAATGTGTGGCTGTGGCAAGGTGTGTGAGGGCAGCGAGGGAGGGTAATGCCACTGCCCAAAGGGACAGGGGCTTTCCTCGCCAGCTGGAGCCGGTGGCTTCTGCCCCCTCCCTCCAGCCCCATCGAGCCACTTGTCTTTGGCTTTGCAAACTTCATTCCACTTGCAAAAGAGCAACAATTAATTACCCTAATTAAACCCAACTGCAGAATATCCAATACTGCGGTTTGATTCATTCTTCTAGGCTCACCTCTTTCGTGCACACATTCCCCATGCTGTTGTCGCAGCTAATCTCTTTCATTCATTTTGAAATGGTGGGCAGGGGGCCAGGGGAGAACGGAACACATAATAAATCAAAAGGCAGTAGCAAAACATTAAAAAGAGCCAAGCTCCCAGCAGTATGCCGGCATCTATGTTTAAAAGGATCTTCCTAAACAGCTGTTTTCTCACAGCACAGCTTTCATTTTCTTGATGCTTAAGAGGAGTCGACTTCACTGACCCAAGACAGAAGGAGGCCTTTGTGAATACCCTTTACTTTTCCTTCTGCCATATTCACCAGAATTTTCTTTTCTTAACCTGACTTGGATAAACTCAGGGGTCTTCAAATGCCCCTGGTAATGCAAGTTCCTGCACAGTGACACATCTTTGGAAATTAATTGGGAGATGATAACAGGTAACTTTACAGTATTGGTCTCTTCTGATTGAGCATTTAATTTGCCATCAAATAAAATATACTTTATGTATATAAAGTATTCCCTGCAAGCATTATTTTTTTTTTCTAAAGAAGCTCCTCCATGATGCAAACGTGACAAGCTCTAGGCTATTAAATCATCTTGATTTCCATGGCTGTAGCACTGAAATGCAGCATTAGCAAATACAATATATCGAAGGACTCTGTAGTAAATAATTCAATTTTTTTCAAGTAACTAACTAGGCAATCAGAACCCTGTCACTTCTGTGTTGACAAAGTATCTTAGTTACTGAGTAGCTATAGAGATGTTTTCCTTATGCTGGATGTAATTATCAAAATGCCTTCCAATAGCTGATGAAAATGTTAAGGCTCAAAGAGTAATTCCTAGAGTGTGATTTGCTGTTCACAGGGACATACAAGTCAGTGCTGCACAGGCCACAACTATAAAGATCTTCAGTGTACTTCTTCCTGCCATCAGTCCCTTTGTAGCAAACTAGAACATCTGACACTGCCCTCCAAATCAAGTTTCAGATTTGGTTTGCCTCAGGCACAGGGCCAGGAGAAGAGAAAGCCATGGACATCCTATGGTATAAGTCACAAATTACTTTGTTTCTCCCAAAGCTCTAGCTTAGGTGAGGACTTCAACTTTGTGTTGGCTTGTTCAGAAAGGTGGGGGGGATGCAGTTGAAAGTATGTGCAAAGCTTGCCCTAGGATCCCCCAGCCCAAAAGGATACTGGTTTTGCTACTTCCTTGATCTGTAGGCAAATCTTTCTTCGTGGTCCCTGGCCTGTGCTGTTTTAGTACTTAGGGGTGGTTCAGATTTTGCTTTGGTGCTGTTAACTCTCTACAGATCTTGACTCTCTGGAGCCTGTGGAAGCCACCCCAAAGTTGGATGTGTCCTTCGGCCTGAAGAATGTGGACTAGTTCACTGTAATGGGGGACATTTCCTACTTGGCATTCGTGCTGAGCTCTGCATGGGTGATTTTTCTCCTACAAGTGATATGAAACATGTAGAATTTCAGTCTGAGCTGTGTTCAGTGAAGAATGAAGGCTGGAAGGGATCCCAGTGGGATATTTACTGTCTCTTACTGGCTTAGAGTATTATAGATGCCGTACAAAAATATTACTTACATTATAATGTCAACAATAATATATAAAGTGTACCCCTGTTGTTCCAACAGGTTGTCTTCTAGATATGCAGTTACAGAGGCTCCACTACCTCCATGTCTGGCTGCTGTCTGTCCTCTGCCCCACTGCCCTGACCAGCTATAATTATTTCCCAGTGACTAACCCGAAACTGCCTTGCTGCCCCACAGGCAGAGAGCAGAATAATTGCCTTCTGCTTTGCAGCCCCACGTGTTGAGTACCCTTCTTGCCTTCCTCAGGCAGAACAAAGGCAATGCCTTTGGACTTTCCTCATAGGTGATGTTCTCCAGGCCTCCTGTCAGCCACATGGCTGCCCCTGTGTCCAGCTGGGGTGCTCTCATTCTGGGAGAGCCATACCCCAAAACCAGCCTCACTTGCAGCAGGGTAGAGGAAAGGGCTTGTGCCTGCACCCTGTGAGCCATACCCTTGTTTGTACACCACAGTGTGGTGTTTGCCTTTGTCTCAGGCTATTGCCTGACTGGATTTGTCCATTGCTCCTGCCTATTAGCACCGTCTCACAGGAGCTTGTTCCCATTCTGAATTGCATCCTGTGTTTCCCCCTAGGCCAGCACAGTGTCCCCTCAGCAACATCACTGGCATCCCATCAGTGATGATGCCAGCCCTGGTATCAGCCTGCCCTGCTGTTCCTGGTACAGCCACTGCACCTGCTGTCACTCACCCTCTTGCTACAATTTGACATGCCTTGTGTCAGCCTCTTGTAAATATCTCTTTTGAGCTTACTTATGATGAGAATGGCATCAGAGACACTGTGAAAAGCACTAAGAAGACAAGATATGTGACATCTACTGCCTCTCCTTTCTATAAGACTGATGGTTGCCATAAATTTGCTTTAGCTCATTTAGTGCTCATTCCTTTTATCACCAAGTGTGAATTACTCCATATTTGATTATTTGCTCCAGTATTTACAGGGCATTGACATGAAGCTGGCCAGTTTTCTCCTTTGCCCTAAGTTTTAAAGGCAGTCACCTTATTTGTCCATCTCCATACCAAGTCACAGTTTGACTCATCCTCCATCAAGTCTTGCAGACAACTAACTACTCATGGCCCAAAGGTGCCATTAGCCAGATCTTCAAGTATCTGAGGTCAAAGTATCACTGCCAATTTGCAAATAATTAACTTCTGCATGAACTCTTCCCTTGTTAGAGTCACCCATCCTTCCCACTGGTGCTGCTGGTGTTCGTCTTACCTACCTACCCCCATGCAACTGGTGTTTTGGGGAAGAGAAGTAGAAACCAAGGGTGCTAAACACTTCTTCTACAGAAAGGAGCGCGATGAAAGCATTCCTGTTTCAGGAATTTGAGATCATAGAGTCATAGAATGGGATTCCTGATGTGATTCACATTCGAATGTGGTTCCTGGTGTCCCTTGATAATCCCTTCTTGGTTTACGCCTTGGCCCTTGCTTGCCCCTGCATGTTGGGGAAATGCTTTGTACGTGCTTGGCTTGCCAGGTGTCCTCTTCCTGGGCATTTCCCTCCTGTGCTGAGGATGGAAGACTGCAACAATTAAAGAATAAAAGGTTTTAGAGAGCAAATAAGTGAGTCATTCCCTGGTATGTGTCACTGTAGTAAAATAGAACAGTAGATCAGCAGATTTCATGGAAACAGCGTGGTCCAGGCTTTGCTCGTGGAGCCAGCACAAGAGATTTGTGCATTCAGAGACACACGGGGATGTGGCCATCCCTGGCCCACCATGTCCCACCCCAGCTCGCAGGACTGATGAGGCCAATATCTCACAGTGCTGTTTCATTGAGAGGAGTTGGTTCAGGGTGAAAAACACTTTCCTGCAGCATAAATCAGCCCTACAGAAACTCAGTGCTCAGTCATACCATTAATGCCAGAGCTGTTGTGCTGTTTCAAACTGGGGAGCAGAGGCATCCCCGAGGCAGCACAGGGAGAGACAGGTAACAGGAATGCCAGGGTGCAGGTATTTGACATAACCTTTGAAAACAGCCAGTGGCTGCTCTCTGCCGCTCTACCCCCTATTTCTTCCTCCTTTTTGGCTCACCAAAAAGCACAAGCCAACCATGTTTTGTTAATAATTAAGAAAATGGCTCTTAACGGAGCAGCCAGTACGCATCCTCGGAAGTTCCATGAGCAGCTCTGCTCAGGAAAGCTATGCTTGATTAAACTGAACCCTGGCTTCTGAAATACTGGAGCAAGGGCTGTTGTGGGACTTCATCCAATATAACTGTGCTTTATTTTTATTGCTCCTCATCTGTTTTCCCTGATTTTGATAAGGCCATAGAGAACCTTGGCTCAGCAATCTCTGCTCTCTTCAGGAGGAGGAGAACCATGCACTGAGTGACCTTACTGAGGTCCCTGTCACATAAAAACCCTTCTGCCACATGGAGCCCTGCCTGCACCCACTTTTCTCTCTCCTTCATGAATATTTATGGTGGCAAAGCTAGATATTGCATGAATTAGTACAGAACTTTAAAATTACACAGTGAGCAATTTCATATAAAATGCAGTTCCTTGGCAATTCTTCCATATAGTTATAGCAGCAAGATTCATGCCTGTGCAATTCCCAGGGTGAAGCCAATTTTGCTTTTTTTTTTTTTTTTTTTTTTTTTAGAAAGGGACAGAAGATTAATGTGATTCTCCACATACTTTCATCACCAGATTTTTCTGGTTTCCGTTCTACTGTAAAATGGTGATAGTGCCCCACCACTCAATTTATATTTTTCTTTTCCTGAATATTGCTTTCCTCTTTCTGGGGTTGTCTGTTTTACCTTCCCTTTTAGTGTTTCCTTTTTTATCTCACATTTAAGATCACGGTTTTGTTGTGAGACAGGGTCTTCCTCAAATATTCATCAATAATAGAGAAAAAATGGAGGAGACAGTCAACACTGCGGTAGGCGAGAGGAGTAAAGTAGGTTAAGCAGTTAGCATTCATCAAATATTTAGTGAGTGATACAAGCTGAGGCCAGCTGTACGGGATCTTGATATGTTTTCTCTTTGTACGACTTGGTTAGTCCATCACACAGGTCCCTGCAGAGCACCCCAGCACTTACCCGTGGCCCTGACCTACATTTTGCACGGTTTGTGTACCCGTCTTTCCCCAAATGGCAAAGCCTGGTTTGGAAGAGGGTTTTGCTCCCATTTCAAGGCACCTGCAGCCGTGTACAAGCAGAAACCCAGCATCTGGCCCCTGCTCACCCTGGATGTGGCATGAGCTGCTGTTGTAGGTAAACATTCCTAAACCCTTACTGTAAAATGATCTCTTTGTTTCCCCCTTTTCTTTTTCAACCCTTTTTTCATCCTACTTTTTTCCTTCTCATAGCAGACATTGCTCTGGGAGAAGACAGCATTTCCCACTGGTAAGATCAGCCGAGCTCACATAATTTCTCTAAGCCACAGCGCTGGAAGGTTGGGTTTGTCTTGTGCTGGGCTTTTTTTTTCCTCCCCAAAACACGATTCAAAAGGGCTTCAAGATTCCCAGGGAGATGAAGCCAGCAAGCACTGTGCCAGAGCAGGCTTTCTCATGCCACCCTCGGCGTGCCAGGGGCTTGCTGTGCCTCTGGGTCCATGTGGTGCCCACGACCTGTAGGGCCAGGTCACTCCTTCTGCTGGGCTGCGTTGCGATGCAGAAGCCTGTGCTTGTTCAGGGCCCGTGGACTCAGTGTCCTGGGACAAACTGCCTTGCCTCATCCCTTCAATCCTGCAGTGTGCCTTTCCACTGCCAGGCTCTTTTTCCCTGGCATCCTGCTGCAGGTGTGCTGCTTTACTCAACAGCAGTTTGCTGGCACGTGGATTTCTCTTTCTTTACAGCGAGGCTGGGGCTCCCGACATCTCCTGTGTGCCCCTGTCCCCCCTCCCTGAGCTGCCTGCCAGGAACCCACACACCTTTTTGGCTGCCACAGCCCTGGCTCGAGGGGTCCTGCTTAGCAGGCACCTGCCCAGTGCATCCCTTTGCTCTCATTTTTGTTTCTCAGGGTCCCTCTGAGCTCTCTGCCAGGCAGCTCCCGGAGCCTAGGGCAGATCACAAAAACATGAGGCTGCGGGATAAGTGGCGAGGGCTCAGGAACGTGCTCCGATTTGCTAAAGTTGCCTAATAAAGCTTAGAGCAGCAGGCACTTGCAAAGCACGTACAAAAGTAGCACCCTTAGGCAAATATAACCCTAATTTCTTCACATAATAATTAAAAGGGCAAATTTAGGAGAAAATAATAATCACTGTCCACAAAAGACTTGCTTTTCTCTTTTACTCCAGGCTAGAAATATCAATGGAGTTAAACATTTGTCTATGCTTGCACAAGCACAGCCAGAACAAGAGAGCTGAGTAAAGGCAAACCTTTCCAAAAGAGAAGCCAGAGCCTGCTGTCGCTGGCAAGATGCAGAGTTCGAAGGAAATGAAGATGAGTGAGATTGCAAAACTCAGATGCCTGCACTTGCAAATGACTTGTAATGGCTCCAGAAACTTGTCTAGTGCTGTTGTTTTACCTTTTACCTACCAGTAGGTATGCACCTCAGCTCATTAAAGGGTTGTATCGAGACATATAATTTGTTTACAGCTCATTAATTGCCATTATAACAATAACAATAGCATGATACATGCAAAAGCACGCTGGCATTTTGGTGGTAGCATGCAGCAGAACCTCCCCACGGCACCTCATTGCTTGCCCAGAGCCTGGTTGCAAAACACTATTTAGTCCTATTAGGAGTAATTCTGGGGGCACGAGTCTTCCCTTTGCCTCAGACAGAACACACACAGTTTAAACTTGTTTCCTTCCTGGTTGTGGGTGAGCAAAGCAGAGGCACTGTTCTTTCCATCTGGGTCATTTAGGGCTTGAAAAGAGGCTAACAAGGAAGCCAAGTAATTATAACACGAGGGCGGTTCTCTAACTTCTCTATACCACACATGCAACTGTAGAACTTCTTTTGCATCAGGAGCAATGCCTCCCGCTCCTGGCAGATGAACCTAAGGCATTCCTCTGGGTACCAGCTCAGAGGATAATTCTTTCCTTTGGCCCCAGTCCTTAGGCTGACCCAGTGTGTGGGGGTGACAGAGGCGGTGAATCAGCTCAAAGAAAAAGGACAGAAAGGGAAACAGGAATTGTATTGCTGGCTGAACCTCAGGTGCTAATGGGAATTTGGCTTACCTGATGCAGGGTGCAGATTTTGACTGGGATGCCATGAATCCTGGTAATGTCCTACTCTGGCTTGGTGCTGCTTCTGAAAAAAAAAAGAAAATCAGATCTCAGAATTTGGAAAGGGGCTTTGCACTTATTTTCTCTTAAGAAGAATTAAAAAATTGCAGGGAAGTAAAAAAGATCCAAAGCTTTTACAAAATGTATGGACGACTATTTCTTTTGCCCAGCTTTGGTAAGTACAGCCAGGTTCTGACTGAGGGGCATAAATGCTCTTTTTTTGGAATGGAAACGTCTCTATCCTAATAGTTTACTATTCTCTGGACTTGTCATGAAGCACAGAGCAATTGTCAGTAATGTGCCCCATGAACACAAAAATATCTTGGATAAACTCTATCACAAGATTTTGCCTTTCAAACATTTTTCATTGCAGTGATCACTGTTTGCCAAGAAATAAAGGACATAAAGAGAAAGAGCTTGGTTCAGTAGTAGATCTAGAACAATTATTTTGTGGTTATAGAAAAAGCCTTGCTGTTTTCACTGTGTATCGGGAGAAAAATTCTTTCTTGCCAAGAGATTTTATGAGAAGCACAGGCTGTGCTATAAAATCATGCTGTATTCTTCATGTAATCACGGGGAGCTGATATAAAATGCAGACACTGAAAGCAAGAGATGAAATCTCATGACTGTGTGAACCCACTCTTGTGATGGGGGACAACTCCTGACTTTGGTTTTCACTGCAGTAATGTGTAAGTCCTGATGAACACTTTCATTCAATTCATAGCATCTGCACCAGTTTCATGCTACAGCTCCAGAGCCAAGTAAACATCGTATCACAGATGTGGATTTCCCCATCCTTGTGACATCAGCACCTTAACAGTGCATTTAGTGGCTGAATGCTTCAATCATGAGTGTGGCCTCTTTCTTGGTCTTTCCTAACCTGACTCCAGTACTTCTTTCTGGCTTCCCATGTACAGCAGAAATCTATTTCTGTTTTCCCTGGAGCCATCACCAGATCTGTATTTGTGGCCAGGGCTTCCTTACAGGGGGTTTCTGTGGCAAGGGCAGAGGCTGCTGACAGCAACTGTGTCAGCCACAGCACATCTGCCAAAAGCCTTGCAATGTGTGTTATGTAGAGAAGAGTCTTCAGCCCTCCTAGCCTGGTCTTGTGAGGCTCCTAGCTGAACTTAGGTGTCTCTGCCTGGAGGTGGTTGTCCTCTAGAAGAGCCTATGGGGACATGGCAGAAGATGGCAACCTCATCTGTATCCCAGAGCTACCCTGCTGCAGCTGCAAGGGATTTACAGCAGGATTTTTCTAGAAGCAACTGGAAAAGGATTCTAAGACAGAGATCATCAGGGCTCTTCTAGATCATACCTCTCTATATAAACCAGATTAACAGGAAAATAAAACTTTTTTTCTTTTTTTTTAAATTTGCCTGGGTTGTGGTCCAGTGGCAGCATGGGTGGCCCTGGATATGTCTGGTGTGTCTTGAAGAAGCCAGGTTTGATTAGGATTGCTTTCCCTGGCATTTCAAAGTGGAAAATTTAGGTTTTACTGTGATCACATGTAGAAGTATGCTTTTTGGAGTTGTTACCATCATTCAACGCACTTGAATTTTGCTGCCACTTTGACTTTTTTCCCTGTGCTCACAAATGAGGTCTCTGTGGAAAGCTATTAGGCACCTTGCACCTTCCACTGGAGCCGACACCACACAGTAGTTCAGAAGGGTTATCATTGTTCCCTCACTTATGCCAAGCACATTAATCTTGATGCAAAACAAATTAAAATATTATTATCTATACTGGGACAGTTGCAGGGCAGGGGGGGGATGTCTATGTAATGTACCAAGCTTCCACTGTTTAGGGTGTGCTTTGTTACCTGGAATAAATCAGTTACAGTTTCTTGATGTACAGTACGGGATCCAGCTGTTGTGTAACTCTGGCAAAACCTTCTGTTGTTACACAACATTGCTGGTATTGTCCCCATCCGTGATACAACTGTGCAATCCAAGCCGTGTTGTGAGCACAAGAGGATTCTACACCGCACATTCCTCTTCCTGCCCGACTGTGCGCACACATCAAACACCACTTGCTTGTTTGGGCAAACGGGGAACAAGCCTCTTTTTCCTGCAGACTGTGAGGGAATTGAGGCCAGAAGCTGAAGCAGGTTTGTGACAATGATGATTTTGGTTTGCACTGCACAGGTGGATGCTGTTTTACTCACAGGAAAAACGAACAGCCCTTGCTCCAAAGTCCCAAATGGCCACTGCCCAAAATGACTCTTGCAAATGGAAACATGGCTTCTGGACCAGCTCTGCTTTCCACTCCTGACGTTTTCCGTTTGGGATTCATAAACCCTGGGCCATTCCCGTTTACGTCACATGAAAAGAGGAGGAGAAAACCCGCTCACGTTGGCCACACACAAGCACTGAGCAACCTTTGTACCCGGGGTCAGCAGAGGTTTTGCCACGCAAGAGGTTTAGCTCCACCCAGAGAAGGAAGCAAGTCAGGTGCCACTGTCCATGAGCTGTGGGACAGGGTGAGTGCCAGCTCTGCAACAGCCTTCACTGGGGGCAGGAATGCACAGTCTCATAATATGGGGGTTTTTTACTCTCATCAAGCTCAACACTTTTTATTTGTTTTGGAAAAGAAGAAAAAAAAATAAGAAAAAGGAAGGAAAAAAAGGAGAAGGAGGAAACACCTAATTGATGTACCTTCTCCCACACAGGCTGTGCCTGTGCACACAAGGATGAAGAGCTGTGCACAGAGTGGGGCTGTGTGTGCCCTGCTGCCAGTGGCTCCCAGCAGGCTCAGGGCTCTGGCACCGGTCACACAACCTGAAAAAGCATTTCAGCTTCTTTGGAGCTCTTGGCTGCACAACACCAGAGCCCACCCCAGTCACTGATTGCTGTCTCTCTTTGCAGCCACAGACCTCAAGTTGTGATCAGTATCTCCAGACAAAGACAAAGTGTGGACACCACAACTGGTATGTGGCAACACAACTCCTTATAAGGACCCTCAGAGAAGAGCAATAAAGATCAGAGCTCATCATTTTACAAACACGTAGGGACCAGTCCTTATCCCAGAGCTCTTGCAATGCCTCACATGCAGCAGTGGAGAGAAACCCCAGCAAATGCCTCCTGATGGTGTTTAAGTCCTCAGCTCCCAGGTTAATTTATGCCTTCCGATTTCAGTGGAACAATCTGGCTTGAACAAAGCAGGACGTAGTTACACTCCAAGTAGCACAGTGGTGGAGAAGACAGCAATCCTAAATCTCCTGAATCCCAGCCTTGTGCTCTTTCTCCCAAGTTCATGAGTGCTTAATCTTAGAGAAGCTTATACTAAGATTTTCATGTTTGTTTAAAGTTTTAAAACAAAACCTAATCACCTGCAGGCAATCCTACGTGGCTTTTTTTTTTTTTTTTTTTTCAGTCCCTGATGCAAAACAACCCTAAACCTGCTCTGCAGATCTGCTGACACAGAGGAGATTAAATGCTATTTTGCTGGTCTTTTTAAACCCCTTATTGATTTTTTCCTGGGTTCATGTAGGGTTCACAAGTGAGAGTGTTGGTCCTTCGAGTATGACTGTCCATTTCAAGTGCCACTTTCTGCATTAAAGGCCAGGCTGCAAAGAGGGCAATATGGACAGTAATGCTGAAGGGCTTGCTCATGGCCCAGAGCCCCACCTGCTTCATTTGAGATATGTTTTTCACCTGATATAGTTAAAGCATCACAGAGGGTGGTGTGGAGGTCACAGACATTTTAACCAAGCATGGTGCTGTTGTCTTCAGAGAGCGATGAATGCAGAGCAATTGGCTTTCTGTGGGTAGCAGAGGGGAAGGACGTACTTCCTTTTGGACCTGGTGTTCCACCTTGGTTTGTAATTGCCTGATTGGCCTTGACACCAAGAGGCCAGACTCTGTCCCCAGGGTGTGGATACAGAGCCACTGCACAAACCACAGGCACCCTCTGGCCAACAAACCCCTGGGGTCCAGGGTTTTGGAGATGTTGTGAGAGCAGGGCTCCCACCAACCCCTGCTGCACCCAGAGACACCCACACGTGGCTGGCCGTGTCACTGTCTGGGAAAAAGGACCACCACAGAAGGGAGACCCAGGAGCTGAGCTCATGTGAACCTTGATCATCTGCACAGCTGGAGCACCAACCCTGATAACCCTGTCAGCCACATCTGCTGGAGGTGCTGCCTGGCTTCCACCCCACCAGCTGGCTCTTGCTCATGGCTTTGTCAGAAATGTCATCCTTTGAAATACAGCACGGGAACTGGAACAGCAAAGGGAAAGGGATGTCATCATGAAAAAAAAGATGGTGCACAAAGAGCTTCACTGGCAATTTCAGCATAAATGGGTGGTACCTGGTAGTACCACAAGGAAGTGAAAATGGGGTTTTATTACAAGAGATGTTGGACACAGGTAATTACACTTACTGTTACCCGGGCTACAGGTAAACATAAATGAAACAAAAAATTCAGGTATACCTATAAACAATACATGGAGTCAGACAATAAGTAAGGTCAGAAGGGACTGTCTGACCCAATCCATACCCAAAACACTTTTAAGCTTTAAAGTCGGAGTAAGCATTTGTTGGGAGAGCTTCGCGCATCCCTGCAGGAGACTGTTTGACCACCAACCCTGTGAAAGTTGTTTGCTAATGTTTAATTGGGATTTCCTTGTACATAACTTCTATCTGGTGCCTCTCATCCTTTCACTGTGCACTTCCAAGGTGAGTCTGGCTCTGCATTTCCTACAAGGTAATGTCACACAGCACTGAAGTCTCCTTTCAGCCTTCCCTTCCTCAGGGTGGACAAACCTGCTCTCTTGTCCTCTCCTTGTATGCCACATCCTTCTGTTGGACCTGCTCTGGTACCAAGGACCCTGCAACTGGACACACTTAGATGTGGCCTCACAAATGCTTCGTATTTTCTTCCAGAGTGGCTGAAGATTTGTTTGTTTTGGTTATAATCTAGGTTCTCTAAATTTAAGAGGTCTTGCCTTTCCCACTAAAATATGGTACTGGCTAATGCACATGATACTCAGAAGGATCCTCCAAGCTGATCCCACATGGCTGCTCCCTTCTTCTTAGCTGGTTCCTAATTGTCAGAGCAGGGAGGTTCCCAAACAACCTTTTATTGAGAGAAGTAGGACAAAATCCAACCTGATTACCACTCTAGCAGAGCTAGGTCAGTCTGGAGCAGAAGTCTACAGTGAGCTGTGGATGATGGAAGAGGTTGCAAGCCTTGCACAGGAGTCTCATGGTGTCTCTTAAGCCCTTACGTTCCTCTTCACCATTTTAAAATGCGAAACCTGTGCTTGCCTTTACCTCCGTGCCTGCAAAGCAAAGCAAAGCAAAGCAAAGCAAAGCAAAGCAAAGCAAAGCAAAGCAAAGCAAAGCAAAGCACAGCCTGCAGCAGCAATCTCAGGCCTCTCCACTTTGGTGCCGCTCCTCTTTCCCTCCAGATATGCGGAGTCACGTCAGGCAAGCCTCTCACATCCCGCTTTCCTTGCCCCTCCAGGCACGGGTGCTGCTCCCACATGCATCCTCTCTCCTCCACATGGTTCCTTTTCCCCCATGCTCTGACTTCCACCTCCTTTTTCTCTTTTCCTTTTGTAGCAAACTCCACCTTAGCTCTGCAAGAGTGGCACAGGCTTCAGCCCAGTGGGGTGCATGGTCCAATTTTCTCCACACATTTCCTTCAGGGTGGCCTCCGTGCCCTGAGAAAACATTGCAGTAAAACTGACCAGGACTGAAGGCTGAGCTGGCTTTTATTCTGATAAGTAA